CCTTTGAGACATCTGCATTTATTTTATCTCATATTGAATTTAATTCCCATTCATTTCTACAGCTGCTAGCCTGTCTTCCAAACACAAGTAAATGCTCAATTTGCAATGTGCACAATAAATGACTTGTTGGAGATTTTAAATACAAATAACAAAAAAAATACTATTTTCCAGAACTGTATTGTAAAACCATCATTCTGACAGAACACGCAAGTCCTCTAAAACTGTTTCAGCTCTTCTATAAATACTGTTTTATTAACCAGAAGCAGTTGCCAAAATTATTCACGTTGACCATACCCAAATTCAGGATATCCAATAATTAAAAATGACCTGAAACACGAAGCCTTTCCACTTCACAGGTGGTGAGTGGGTATGGGCTACGTAGGAGGAAAAATGTGTTCCTCCCTATGCTACATATTTGTAGCCAAATCTCCAGGCAATGCAAACCAAGCCTTGCAAAATGCAGACCATTTAATGTACGCCTGTTATCACTACAATACATACTGCCTGTTTTCAAACACCTTGGGAGTTTCTTATCTCCAGATCACTTTGACACAGTAACCAAAACTGTTTTATACTTTCAAACAATAGTAACTACACCTCTTTTATCCTGGCAGGATATGGAAACCTTGGTTCATGTGTTTATTGATTTAAACAGGAATACTGCATTGTTTTATTGGCTGAATTTCCTGTCTGATTTCAAAAAGAAAGCAGATGCAAAGTGCCATAACTCCCATCTGTCTTTAGACTCAGTTAAATTACCTTGAACAATGCAGATAAATGCTGCATTTTTAAATTCATGAACAAATCTCTATGACAGAAATGGTTATCAGTGTTAAGAGGCAAAAAAGCGAATAAAAAAACACTGTCACCAAAACACCAACATGATCTCCTTACACTGGTGACTGCTGTTAAGGAAGACCAGTTTCCTTAACTTGGACTTGGGCATTTCCAGACAACAGTTCTGCCACTTAAGTCAGCCAGCAGTTTGGCCATTAGTTTGGCTGCATTGCAACTGCTCTCTGCTTCCTTTCACTCACAGGAAGTCCACGGAGCTTGGTCTTCCTAATTCAGGAATCTGTATCTGATGCCTAAAATAAGACTGCACAGATACCTCTCTTTCCATGCAGGCTCTTTAGTTCTACTGCACTAATTTAGCTGACTGGTAGCATGCAAGCAGAACTTTATCAATCAATCAGAAATTCTTTTCAAACAGGGCAGACCAGAGATCCATCTGTAGACAGCACCAAAGTAAATGGCATCTGTGAAGCATTTATGAAGAGGTGAAAAATACAGCGCTTCTGATTGTCTTCATTTAGAGGCTGATTATTTACCATGTGGCATTCCAACAACGAAACAGTTTAAAGAACTGTTAATTCAGTCCTTTCCTTAGTATATCTAAGTATAGTATATCTATCTTCAAACTGCTTTAGAAAAACAAAAAAAAGGCAAAATATTTAGAAAAATCAGACCAAGCAAGCCTGAATATTTGCTAACGAATGCTTCCAACAGTCAGCTTTCAGTATGAGACAGATTTCCCCTTCCGTTCATGAAACTTCATTTAATTTAGTGGTCTTCTGTAAGCTAACACAAAAACCCACCAGCATGTATTAGTTTTATGCAAATTTATCAAGATGCATCAAAGAAAGAAATGCCTTCAGATGCCTTCGTTATATAACATGTAATAAGCAGTGCTTTAAATGTTGGTGAGAAAACCAATACTTCTAATGCTATAAGGAAATCAGTATATATAGACAACATAAATCTAAATATAAATGCTATAAGGAAACCGGTATATACAGACAACATAAATGCACAGTAAGAAGAGAAGGTAAAAAAGTACAGTGGATTTTTTAAGGTACATCTATCAGTTTAACTTTGACTACACACATCTCTCAAGTCTAAACATATCAGGACGTGGTATCTCTTAATCATCCTGTGCTTTTGATAGAATGTTTGTAGGTGCCTTTATACACTCACTAGCAAAGTTTGCTCACAGAAGTTTATAAACCAAAGCAACAAGCTGTACAGAACACAGCGTATTTTCCGTCTCCTCATCAGAAGCACAGCAAGGAATACACATGTGTTACTAATTGGAAAAGCAGACCAGTATGCAGACCTGGAATACTTAAATCTATTTCTTGTAGGTGGCACATCTTCAAAAGAAAAACTTTTTTAATTCCTACAGTACCAAAAAATATGAAAGCAAAAGAGACGCATAGACTTCAATTGCTAAAAAGTTATAAAATGACGGCCAGAAGAGTGATTTTGCTTGTTATCCAGTTTCCATTTCTTCTCTGATGCTTGTAGGATAGTGGCACGATCACTTCTGGCTAGAGGTCTCACCACCTCTCTAGACCAAAGAATTTCTCCATTCAGTGTCTGCGCAGACCCAAGAAGGCAACATTAGAAGTAATGCTGTTGTTCCACAAAAGAGCGGGATGGTATTTCCCTTCCATTTGACCAGGATGATTTCAAAAGAGATACATTCACCTTAAGCACTGGAAACTATATTCACATCTATTTTAAACAAACACATAAAGTATTCAGAAGCTACTGCATTCTGTTTAGATACATAAATACATAATATAAACACATTAGAAATTAGAAGATTGTGCTAATGTATATCTAATTAGATGTAATCTAAGGACATGGAGTGACAGGATGAAAGGAAATGGCTTTAAACTGGAAGAGGGTAGATTTAGACTAGATAGTAGGAAGAAATTCTTTACTGTAAGGTTGGTGAGACACTGGAACAGGTTGCCCACCGAGGCTGTGGATGCCCCCTCCATGGAAGCATTCAAGGCCAGGCTGGATTGGGCTGTGAGCAATCTGGTCTAGTGAGGGGTGTCCCTGCCTACAGCAGGGGGTTGGAACTAGATGATCTGAACATCCCTTCCAACACAAACCATTCTATGATTCACCATTCTATGATTCTATCTGATTCCGAATTTAATAACAGAATGCAGAAAGTGCAACTCTACTCCGCAACCAGACTTATGCTCCCAAAGGTGCATCACAGAATGCCTTTAGAAAACCACCAGCATGGGGAAAAATTCATCAAAACAGGCTGACAAAAAAAATTTCTTGACTAATTAAATATGGACACTGTGGTAAATTCTACACATCTGTAGGGAACTAATGTTTAGGAAATTCTGTCACAGACCAGAACCATTGTGCTAAGCACTTTCTGAATACCCAACTGTTTAAATACTTTGTCAATAAATGTGAAGAGTACTGAATGAAACACAGTCTGTATGTGATGTGACAGATTTTGAAATCTAAGGACCTATTGGGCGTCCCAAGTCCCTTCAAGAACATACTTTTAATTGTATGTTAGCTTTTATTTCTAATTTTTCTTTTGTATCCTAAGATCCTCCTTCAGTGTGCAAGTATTTCAGCACATGATATGCCTCTGATTAATCTTACTTCACTTCTGTTGACAAACAGAGAAGAAAGCCTATTGGACACTATCCTGAATCATGGTACATCCTCTGATTTTTAATGATGGAGAATTCAACAGATGTCAATGTAAGCTGAGGAGCTGGTATGAAAAAAATAAAAAAAAAAAACCCACCTCTGTACTATTCTTACCGATTGCTCATTTCAAACTTGGTCTCATCAGTGGTTTGAAATAACACAAGCAGCCCAGCTGTTAATTTTACCATGTAGAGTGACACATTGCAATAAGCTCTTGCCTGAAGGATTTTCCTTGCGGTTCTTCTGATGTCTGCTAAGGATACAATCTGTTGCTGTCTGCTGATTCACATAACATAACCAACAACGCCTTCGTACTGAACATATACAAGTAGGACAGTTGTTGAGAGAATGTAAGAATTTTGTTCTGTCATGACACTGTCCCACCCAAGTCATTCTATGACTCCATGAACTAAAATTATTTACTTCAAGGGACAGCATAAGCATTTATTACTAATTCAATACAGAAGTAAAAACTGATTCTGTATAATTGTTGTTGGTGACAACTGTCAGCCAAATGATTAATATAGTTTTCTTGGAACGTAGGAGACAAAACTGATGAACCAACTGCGCATGAATAAACATGAAATTATGAGACCAATTTACAAAAATGAACTTGAACACCAATCTAGTTCGTGTTTTTATGACTACTTATTTGACCCAGTTTTGTGACCTTGAGCCCGTATGCTGATCTGTTCCTTATTTAATTGAAAGCCAGAGCAGTTAAAACTACTGGGATCTGAACTGCAGATGCAAAAAATTAAAGAAAAATCATCAGCCTTAATTATTTATTAAAAATGATTTCTTCCATTTATATCTTTAATATTTTCAGAATTTCAAGGGTTTTTTTTCCTAAGGTTCTGGCAAAATCAGAGGAACATAAGTTGATGCTTAAAGTTAATCCTGAAGTGCTAGAAACGAACACCAAAAAACCTGCACGTTTACAGACTTTTTACTTTTTTTTGCCAAAAGTAATTTCTATTAGAAAGTACTTCCTATCACAGAGCATATCAATTCAAAACAAATAGATAAATAAATAAATAAAAGAAGGAGGGGGAAAAAAGAAAAAGAAAGAAAAGAGGGGAAAAAAACAACCACCACTACCAACAGCTACAAGCTCTGATCTGAAGAAACACAGGAAAGCCTGCAGACAGATTATCTATTGTAGCATGTTGTGCAGTAAGCTTTGAAAATTATCTGGTGGAATTGTAGAGGCTTTACACCACCTCTGAATGAAAAAGTATAGGAAGGGTTCATTGTTCTCTGTTCATCATCAAAAACTTTTCATAGAAGATCAAAAATAAAATGCATGACATGTTAGAACTTCAAACAGTGCAACTTCACTTGCTCCCAATTCTACAGAAGGAAAAAATAAGAAAAGGAAGTAGAAAACATACTGTTTGGCTTGATGACGGAATCAGAACTACCCTTTTTGTAGCAAAAATTACTTTGGGAAACATAGCATTAAAAGATGGCCCTACCCTCTTATTCATATTTCCACCACAGAAATGAGATCCAGTACTCACCGAGATTTGGCTGAGACATTGCCATAGACCTCTGTGGTACTGGCGTGGAAGTAGCTGCAGGATGGTGGCTCATGTGATTCAGTGGTTGATTCATAGTTTTTCGAGGATCTTGCCATGTTGTTATTTTTTCTATGTGACTGAGAAAGTGAAGATAAAGCAAAAGTTTAACAGACAATTCCCACATATGTTATAATACATGGTTAGGCATAAGGCCATGAACATCCTATTTGTGCTTCTAATCTCACATTTATTTCTCCTCTTTATCTCACATTAGCCCATCTGAAATTACCTATCATCTTGCTATTTCTTTAGCCCTTACCTATTTTCTTCCCCCCACCATCCTGACACTTCACGTGCTACTCCTGATTGAATTACTTTCACTCAAACAAAAGATGAATCCCATTATGATAGTGAAAATCCGTAACAGATACTCATCTTGTTGACCACTTAACCGTTAAAAAACCGTTAAAAAACTGTTTACCCTTTTCTTAGCAGTTCTTTCTACACATTCAAACATGGGGTCATTTTCCATGCACCAAAGGATGGTCATTTTGCCAAGTTTTGAAAATACGGGTGTTCTGCCAGAAAACACTGCTTTGCTCCTTACCACTCCATGAAAACTTGTCTATATCTCCAAAAATATCAGAATATATTCTTGTTGCCAAGAGAGGCAGATGACATCAGTAGGACCAGTGTCTCTGCAAAGTTACCAGCAGCTTTTAATCAAGGTGGTCGATGTAGGTCAACAGTGTATCCACCACTCTCCTTAGGTAAAGTCTCATGTACATACATAACACTGAAAACCACACGGAAACAACTAATACCCGAGATTACTGGAACACATCTTTTATCAGATTAAAGAGATGAAGGGACTGTGTTTTTGTTGCAATGGAAGGTTTTCACTGAAATGCATCAATTTAGACACTTATCAGAACAAGGACTTCAAGGCTGAGCATGTAATTCCATTTGAAACAAGCAAAAGACAAAAAAAAAGAGCTACCTGAAAACAACGGACCGTCTGGTACCCACCCCATGACTGCTGAACGTGACTCCATCTTGGCATGCCCTGCTTTCTGCCCCATCAGCCAGCCAGGACACCAATCACTGGCTGGATGCAGAGAAGTTTTCCTCTGCTATTTTAAAGAGGAATGCCTTTAAGTGGAACATATAAAGAAGAATAAAACTTCTAAAAGCTTCATGTCTGGAAAACCATTCTGATCCACCTTTCATAAAAGCAATGCCTAACTTCCCCTTTACTGACCTCAGTCTCAAAACTTCTCCTTGCTACTTTAAGCTATGGCTGCATTGTCATTAAGGCTGTGACCACAACTTCAGACTTTGCTGACAGCCATCACTATTTAACAAGTGAGTTTACATCCACTGCCACGTTACCATGTCCAAACTCTTTACTGTCTATCTCTGATGTTACCAAAATAATGTGAATTACAAGGAGCAAAAACAAACAAAACATATCCACATTAAAGAAAAAACAAAACAAAACCAAAAAACCCAATCAGAACAAATTTTTGAAGCACAGAAAAAACCTGCACTGCCTGTAATCAGTCTGTGACCGTATCCCCCACATATTTTACATTTAACGCACAGTTCCAATACTACAACTTGTCTACAACTCAGTCTCTAAACAGCTGAATCACTTCATTTTATCAAAGCTATGAGCATATTTATTGTATTGAATCATTGCTAATTACAAGGAAATCATCCACCATTTTTTCTTGCTAGCACTGAATGATTTTATTCTTCTCTCACTGTAAAACTTAAGCACATTGGAGGCTTTTCTTCTTTTTATTTTTGTATTAGTTTTCAAGTACAAGAATTCTCGTATGCAGCTCAGTTAAATGATCTTTCTTCCAAAAGAAGTGGCATTCTGAACAAAAGATGCTGGTATAGCAATAAATTGGGCATTGTTTTCCATAATTATATCAAACTGAACTGAAAAGCATTTTTATTTAAAGTTCCATTGTTCTGTTTCTCTGGCATTTTAATTCAAATAAAGAAGCTACACTTAATCAAAGCGGTGGATTTTGGAATACCCACGTATAATAGAAAAGATCATTCCCCAAACTGTGAAAAACATTTTTAAACATGAGTGCTAGCAATTAAATAATTACTACCCCTTTGTAGTTTGTATCAAAACAGATTTTCCTCTTTCCAACATCTTTTATATGTAAACACTGTAAAATGTTCAAATTAATTGAAGACTTTTTTTCTCTTCTCTTTTCCTGTTAGTTTCATCACGAGAAACTGAAAGCATCAACTCTTGTTAGCAAAACCTGAAGCACAAGTTAAAGGATTTATGAACTCAGCTGTATTAAGCAATCTCTAACTTGCCTGAACGTATTCCTCAGCCTAACTGCAAACCTGCAGCCTTTAACTAGACCCACTAACCACATACAACAAGCAGTGGCAGGAAGTGCTCTTAAAGCCACAACAGAATACTGAAATGGTCAATTTTAAAATTCTCTTCTGTTACCGGAGTTCCTTTCTTCAGTAACATTCTCACTCTTCATGGACATTAAGACAACAAAACACAATCACTCGTTTTCTGGTTCAGGGAAGAGCTATCAACACACACAGAGTCATGTATGCAAGTTTGTACCCTTCCATTTGATGTATGGAGGGAAAGAGATCAAGCCTACTCGGTATCCCAAAGATGACTAATGATGACTTAAACATATCCATGTTGTGCTCCTGTTCTCCCTCCTGCTGAATGTAGAACTGCACCCTGGAATCTACACTTCTCCAGCCTCCATGAGCTTTCAGGAGGCTCTGAAATACCACATCCAGGGATGCATCCAAGAGAAAGGGCCTTTATCTCCTGGACAAAAATAAAGTTAAGAAACATCTCCAACGTGCTCAGATGACCAGGAAATCCATGCAACTGAAGCCTGTGGAACACTGGAGCACACACTGCTTTTTTCAGTGTTTCTTTTTTTGTTACCTTCTTTACTGCACTTCATATTTAGATACATGTAAGAACTGAAAGACCTTATTCTTAAATCAAAATACTTTATATGTAAATAACTCAATGCTATTGTTACTGCATACAAAACCCAACATAAAGTAATTTTCTGTTCTCTGTAAAACAGTTCACCAAGTAGTAAATTAGACTGATCAAAAGATGGAAATCCTTATTTAGGCCTTGATCCTGAAAAACCCATGTCACCGTAAGTTTTGCCTCAAATATCAATGGAAGGTGAGTCACACTTAATTTTGCACAGCTTCACAGCATAGCAGATGTGTAGGAAAGAGCGTTGGGAGTGCCTGGTTGCAGCTGGCAGTTTGTTACCATAACTATGACTTTTTTGGTCTTGCACTTTCAATACACTGCACATGCTATGTGAGGCTTCATTCTAATGAAGATCATCGAAGTGATTCAGGTCTGTAATATGTACATATACACGAAAAATACTGAGGAGAAAACATCTCAGTAGTGCTAACTGGGATTGTATCAATCCATCTACTTATTATTTCTAGAAGTGTTCATCTCAGAAGGATTTTTTTCTTGGCATATATCACATAGCCTATAAAAACAAGCCAGAAAACAAAGCTATAGACAAGGAATAATAATATGCACTAGAAATCTTAAAATGCACTACAGGAATGATAGGCCTGGAAGCAGCAACAGTTTTACTTCCCCTAAAATCTGAGCTTTACACATTTGAGCATTTAACTTCCAGTGTCACTGAGAGAATCAGTTATAGGTGTGTTAAACCCTTGGCCACAGTGTCCCCTAAGGCCTTGACTGTACGCTAGTTCTCCCAGTTTTACATACAGAATAATGTTGTTATTAACTGCTTTATGTGTTTAATCCTGGTGTAACAGCACCTATACAGAAAGAGAAACTAAATATGTCTAAGTTAATAAATTCTACCATAACATCTCTGTGCATTTCCTATGACACACAAGCTCAGTGTGCAGTAAATTGTATCCCAACGGTGGCCCCTCATCAGAAAAATATTTAATGCAATGCTCCAGATTTCAGTAACTCAGTATTTTATTAGGACTTACAGATCCTCTTCCACTTGTCATATCTAAAGTATTGATCAACGCTTCCTGTTTGGGTGTCTATTTCCTGCTTTGAAAATTCAGTATTTAACACAACTTGAGCTACTGCATTGTACTGCTTTTTTTCACTGCTAGGCTCTGATCACCAGCTTCCACTGCAACCTTGCCAAAACAGCTCAGTTCAAATTAGCAAGCAGCAGCATGAAGTACATTCATTCTTTTTCTGCTTGTACTAATTCCAACAACAAATGTGTTTCTATGGTTTCTATTTTAGGATCATCTTTTTTTTCCAGTGTTAGGAAACTCAGATCTACTTCTCTGAAAAGAAGTGTAAGGGTAATTAAGGAGAAAGAACTGATTCAAAATATTTTATCCTGCAAGCGTGCTCTGAACTGAAACAACACAAGCTCAGAGTTAGGCTAACTCTGTAGAACTTGTATGGAGTCTTTTATTGGGCCTTTGTCAGAGGGACTAAGAGTGGATTTTGCGACTGAGCCACATCAAAGTAAAGCTGCTTCAGGGCAAGTGGGAAGCTGATGACTCATCAACATGAACAACCCATATGTTCTGACTCATTAACTGCTCCCAGCAGGATGACAGCTCAGATTGCATTGGAGACCATCCAGCCATCCACTTCCGGCTGCACCATCATTATCAAACATTGGGAAATCTGTTTACATCTCTGTATGCAGAGCCAAATCATTGCCCAACTTCCCTCTGTCCCTCTGTCCTTTGTATGCAAAAAAAGAAAAAAAAAAAAAGGAGGGGGTCAATAAGGAAGCTTGGTCTCCAATAAGATTCCACCAGAAGTGCTTTGGCACTGCATGATGTAGCAGACATACTTTTAAACAAATTGATAGGTTCTGAGATTTAAAAAAAAACGGCCTCGTTCAACATTCTGGTCTATTAAGTGAGCCTGCCCATGGTGCTATAGTGCAATATCTGCTAAAACCACCAGCAGGTCCAAACCACACAATGTTTCAGCCAAGAGAAGCACAAAGGATCTAGCAGCAGAAGATAGACTCTGATCGTGTACTACTAACGAGCAGCCTAACGGGTAGCCACTCCTCGGCTCCAGGACACCTCTTACCATTCCCTTTGTGCGAGGCCT